TCATTTCTAAGATAATCGTGTATGTGTATATATATATACATATATATATATACATATATACACACATACATATATATATATATATGTACATATATCATTACAAGAATACTTTTCTTTTCTTTTTATTTATAAGCTTTTGTATTGAAAGAAGAATATCACAAAATACTTTTCAAGTAATGAATATTTTATTTTTTGTTATAATTAAAATATACACTGTGTCATGGGTGAAACAGGCGAATAGTAATCAATAGTAACAAAATATTTGTGTTATTTCCTTTAATTCCACAATCTGATCTCTTTTTTTTATATATATATATTTTTTTCCACACGCAGCAAACATGGTATACACAGTATACAGATTTACTTTTCAAAAGCACAATTAGTTTGGCTTAAAATACCCTTTGTAATCTTTTCTCTCCCTTTAGAAAAACTGTCCATTTTCCATGTATACGTGTATTATGAAAATTATTTAAGCCAAACTGTCGTAACTTTTGTAACATCTGAGAGAAACTTGAATGTTTAAAGCCTTATCAGCCTTGTGTGTAATATAATTTCGATGTACCTAAATGTAATCTCCACAATGCCATATCTACATTTGCTATATGTAATTATTTTGTCATCTTTAAACATTTTTCTTCTTTTTTTTTTTTGTCCAGAAAATCACAAGATGTATTGGCTGTCAAATTCTCTAGTATTTGTATCATGTCGAATGATACTCTACACATTAACAGTCTTCTTGCGATATGAAGAGCAGTCTTTGTACACCAGACAGGAACAACTGTTTGATGCAAATGCAAAAAATGTCATAGTAGCCTAAATTATACAAAAGTTATATTTCCGCTAGTTTCAATGCCTTAAACATTCTGTTGATTCCGCGTTTGCAAAATGTTTTCCACGTAACAAGCCATGATCGTTTTCGCTATAATTATATGAGTTTTATGTGACATTGGAGTACACGAGTGTAGCAATTTCTGAACATCAAAAGTAAAAATTGCACCAGCGCAATAAATTATTTTGTAAGATAGAGCTTTTAATAATGATAAGAAAAAAAAAAGGGAAACAAAAAAAAAAAAGAAAAATACGATTCATCATAAAATTCTGTGCACATTACAGTATATTTATTGCTCTTCCAATGTAATTTCAAATGTGACTTTAGAATATTTTGTGACCATCTTCTACCACTCGCGCACTCTTCGCTTATCTACCCAGGACGTTCATATTTTAATTATATTTATTTTGAAATATTTTTATCTTTCTCTTAATTCCTACTGCATTATATACTAATTCGCACACGTGTACAGCATTACGTATGTGCACACGTACATATACATATATATATATTTATATATATATATATGTATATAAACATACGAAGATACGTACGTTTCCTATCATACCTTACGATTCATATAAGTTACAGAACTTACTTTAGTGTACAAACAATCATAGATGATACTAGATAATACGTATAGGTTATAAATTTATGAGGAAGAAGTACGTTTAATTAGTAGTACGAACCGTTGGTCCATGAGTGGTGTTTCATTTTATGTCTATTGATTATCTCTAACTGACACATGCTTTCTGAACTGAAACTGTTTATCGACATGAAGTCCTATTGTAAACGACACAGCGTTACGTTTCCTACTATAATAAGATTAACACCAAGCATATAATAAACAATACTTTAGTAATGCAACTTAAGATACTAAAGAATAATTAGAGTATTAAATTATAAGATATACATGTTAGTATTATGAATCATGAATAACAAGAAAATAGGAGTAAATCAATCATTTTAATTTTTAGTTATGTATGGTTTCTATGTAAGAGAAACAGTTTCGTGTATGAAGCATTTGGTTTTCATAAAAATATTTGAACATCTATTTCAGTAGTCTGTCTATGTAGTAAATGATAAAATGTGCATAGATAGAAAAAGACATGATTCTTTTGACTGGTTAAATTATACCAATTGTAAAACATTGAAAATACATTTCCTTTTCTTTAGTAAATGTACATAGAGCTACCTAGTATTTTACAGACCCAACGTACAAAGATCAGGGAATTTGGGGCTTTTATGTAAGTCTCTCAATGACTCTATAAGCTCTTTTATCCCAAATGTCCCTATCTCAGTCTTAGTCTGCATTCAGACAAAGTTGGTCTACTCCTTACTATGTTCTTGCCTTATCACCAAATTTTGAGTATACAGGATTTATAAATTCATCTTTAATAGGGTTGATGTCTCTGAAATTGTCGTGGTCCCTGACCATTTCCTCGTGGCTTACCTTGAGGCCCATATCCCATATTGTCATACCCATCGTAACCAGCATAATCATAATTTGCATACATGTCGTCGTATCCTCCTTGATAGCCATTGCAATATTCGGGAATGTAACCATAGCCTCCTCCATATCCATAACCAAAGCCTGGTCCCCAAAATCCTTGATTCCTTGGATCTGGATTAACTTTTACTTTCTTGACATCCACTTCTTTCCCATTTATCGTTTGTTTGGGTGTTTTAAGTAACTTGTACACTACTTCCTTCGAGTCAAATGTTATGAAACAGAATCCTTTTCTCTGATTTTTTACCTTGTCAAATGGCGCTTGTAACTCGACAATTGTACCATATTGTCCAAAGTATGTTTTGATATCTTCATCGGTAATTTCAGGGGTAAGGCCGCCTACGAAAATTTTACCATGTTGCGGCTTTTTACTCACCCGTTTAGGATCCACCTATATCAAAACAAAAGAAATTAGAGACAACGTACAGAACCAGTCAAAAACTATATTTTAAGCAATAACGTGAGATTTTTATTTTCCACTGAGTATAACCAACCTTTCTCTTATTAATGTAATGCTCGCCAGAAGCCAAAAGTTTGTCGATTGTTTTAGGATTGGTGAATACCATGAACGCGAAACCTCGTGAAATACCAGTGTAGGGGTCAATTTTGACGGAAATGCTCTCAATTTCTCCAAATTTACTAAAATGATCCCGCAATTCTTTATCGGTAGTGTTACGCGATAGGCCGCCAACGAAAAGTTTGCGTTCGTCGTCCTTGCCTGGAATTCCGGCGGTAGCTTGTTGCTGTTGCGGCTGTTGTTGCGACTGTGATTGCTGCTGTTGTTGTTGCTGCTGCTGCTGCTGAGATTGCTGTTGTTGTTGGGACTGCTGTTGTTGGTTTTGTGTCTGTTGCCCGGTGCCCTCGGTTTGGGCTTGATTCTGGTAACAGTCAACCGCCGCCATCGCGTATTGTTTAGAACTTACCGCGTTAAAATCACGTCAGAAAATACAAATTGGTCTGGTCGAACCGACGAGACGAGTAAATGCAACGTTGTACTGCGCACCAGAATAATTTCAGAACAGTTGGCACGCGTCACAGTCGGTTCTTATGGTGAACCGGTGCCGGCTTACGACCGAAAGAAAGAGAGTCAGCAACAGTTTCCGATTCCCTCTAAGCCTATATTAAAATGACGCTATTCGTTCTTTCTACTCAGACGCAATTCATCTCTCCAATCACAACAACAGATCCAACAGACAACGCCGGAAATTCCAGTTCGTTTCCGGTGATCGTTTCATTACTAACTTTAATCAATTTTCCAAAACGATGGAAAATTGACGGGCTGGCACGCTTATTTGCTCTTTAAATATTCAATTTATTTTTATAATGCCCTGATGTTTCCGTAGCGAGCGATTATTGAAAGTCCTTGAGCATTGCTGAACCTGAACAATGCACGAACACCTTTGTTCCTAACTGCGAGATGAAGGTCTGTATTTGCTGAAAATCGTACATTGCCAATTCGTACTACGAAAATTGCTATTCTAACATTTTCCCGTCCGATAATCACTTTTCTCTGCGTTTTTTCGCGTAAAAAATCGATTAAAGGTTAGGTTAACGTTCATACATATATTCAGATGGCCAAATTGATTTTTGGTCAATGACATTAAATTTAAACGCGATATCGTTGTTATTCCATACCAAATTATGCAAATTATGGCAATATGCACAATTCATGCGTACAACCGAAATTATTTAACGCGTATTCGCAACTGTAAAACTCGAGTCACCGTAACGTCTAAATCTTTACTTTTGCATTATAAAAGTTAAGGAATGATTTGTAGATTTAAGAAATTTAATCGTAGAATGAAAAATTAAAATATATAAAAAAGGAGAAAATGTATCAAGCGTCATACGTTGTACATAATGTTTCAACTCAAATCACTTTTGGTTTCGATTCTGATTGAACATTTCTCATTGCCAGCGATATGCACACGTGAAAGTTGTCGATCAAAGTTGAAAGACAATTATCGTACGTGCACACGTACGTATTTCTAGTTTCTGTTCAAAAATTTGGGAGCATGTGGTGTTCTTACTTGTTCGTGCACCATTTAAAGTCGTTACTTTCTCGTTATATATGTATATAAATATAGTCAGACAGAGAAGACTATATAAATAAAACACAGGCCCTCGGCAACCCCGGCTTATCTTTTCTT